CTGACTCACAAAAGATGGCTGAAAATCAATAACTGGTCAATCTGGCAAGACATTATAGAAATCACAAGGAAAAAAAATCACAAGCTTAAGCTCAATAAAATTAAAGTACATTCCGGCAACAAGTATAATGAGCAAGCAGATCAGCTTACTAAACAAGCAACTTAATTACCAGCAATTGCATGGCATCTATCGAGTGGCAAACACGTTTAAATTATCACCACCTGACATAATAAGATAGTAGACACAGTCCCAAGAAACTTTATTAAGGAAGTCTACAAGACAGTAAATGTAAAAGCCTAAATAGAAACTGGAAGAATACGACAGCTCCTAGAACAACAGATTGATCAACAAAGAAGCTATACCTGGAAGCAATTCTGGAACAATCTAAAACTTAATGGACCAACCATATCCTTTAAAGAATGCAAGAAGAAAAGCTTCTGGATCAAATTGCTACACAATGAACTACCAACATTAGACAAACTCGAAATAAGGAAACCCTGGCTTTACAGTATATACAACATTTGCAAAGTCTGTAGCATGAAATCTGAGACAAGAGAACACCTATTTATATGCTCAGAACTGAAAGAACACTAGCGAAGCATGGTCAAAAGCCATGCAAAGGCTTACATGAAATCTTTAAAAGGCCTGCAAAAACTCAATACATATACCAGAGACAACTAATCTAGACATAGTCACAACATACCTTACACAAAAGGTGTTTCAGGAAAAAAATAAGAGACTAAACTTTGCAATCGGACTAATATCAGAAAACCACATCATAGAACTCTGCAAACGAACAAATACCAAGATCTCCCAATCTAAGGCCCGGCAACTGTTGTGCAAAATTGCCATCAGCTTCCTTAAGCAATTCAGAAAATTGACATGGAGACACAGGTGCAGCATTATAATAGCAACTGACCGGATTATAGGTCTGAACCTAAAGATCAAGAAAGGTCTTGTATCTTCGCCATCAACAAAACTTAGTTCAGACATGGATCTCAGTTTGGAAAACTATATCTCCAGGCCCATGGAAATCAACAGTGCCGTCAGTATCCAGTTATCAAACAATCAGAACAACAAAAGAAAGAAAAGGGAGAAAAGACAAGGTACAAGATAGAAGAGTATATAAATAAACTAGACAAGGTTAGAGAACTAATACAGGAGTTTATAGAAAGTGGGAAAAAATGGTTAGCGCTTAAATTAAAACTCAATCTGGGTTTATGGCATATGATCTGTAGAGATGATCTGCAGGCTTTGACTTTATTAAATAAATGAGATCTTAATTTCAATTAATGGACGAGCAATATATCATCCCCATAAATCACATCTAGAGACTCTTTGTCACAGATGGATGAGCTGAGTTGGGGAAATTTATACATACAATTTATATTTGTAATAGTTCATTTTGATTTAATAAATAAACGACACCAACCTGATTAAGGGAAAAAAAATAAATAAAGCTAAAAATCTAGAGATTTTATTAATATATAATTAATAATTAATTCTTTTCCTATTATTTTTAATTATTAATTTATATTTCTCTTTTATTGAATCTATAAAATTATTTAAAACCTTATTTGAAATTTTATTTTATTCTTCTATCATAAATTATTCTAATTCTAAAATATTTTTTGATAATCTCATTTCTACATTTCTTTTAGTGTCAAAGTGATCTATTATTGGATTGGAATAAGACCTTTTTAGAAATTTGCAGGAAAGAAACATCAGGTACCATATAAAAATGATCATCAAATCATTTTACTGAAAATGGACACCTTATACTTTTTATAACTTCCAACACCACAATACTTTTTTTGAAAATTAAAATCTCAATACCCACTAGATCAACATATAAAATAGCTTCTTATAAGAAACAGCATTTTTAACAAATTATGATATCAAATATTATATTACTTCTATTTAACTGCTCTCATATGAAATTAAACTAATATCTTGTGATTTGATCTATGAAATACTAACCATTGTGCAATCTGATTTAATTTGTTGTAATCCCTAATATCAGATATGGTTTAATATACTTAATTAACTAAAGCAAATTTAAGCTTTATCAATTACAAGTATACATATCTTGATTTGTTAACATTACTGTTTCTTCTGGATCACCTTTTGTTCTTAACAGTTGATTGATAGATTTACGCCCTCACAACTATACCTTCAATCTATCCTTTTGTTGTTGAAGAGGTATAAAATCCAGATGGCTTAATTTCCGAATTCAAAATGGAAATCTTATTTACTAAGCACGAAAAATCCGGCCTTGTTGCTGTACCATTTGTCGCACGATTCAGCCGAATAGTGTATTCTTTATATGAACTAGTAAAAAACAATGGTCAGATGACCGGATGTAAAAACTTGAAACAATGTTCCTCCTCTGATGTTTTGGTCGGGACGACGTCAGGAATACTATTACATCTGTTACAGTAAGTGTTATATGCGAAAAAAAAGTTGAGGGTGATGTGATTTCATTTTACGTATTTATATAAGATAAAACTTACATGTCATTAAAGATTCAAAAAACAACTCTGCTAATTTCAAAATCACCAAGGGATAGAAAAGAGGCCTTTCCTTCCAAGGAATCAGTCGACACATTCTGTAAAGAGAATAAAACTTCCATCGGTAGTACTGGATCAACTGTAGTATATGAATTTTCACGTGTAATCATCTGCCATTCATGATGAGTGAAAATATAAGCGGGGTAAGGGCAAGGCGAGCTGAGAACAATCACCGAAGACAATGCCCTATCAAGTAATCATAAAAGTCATTAACATAAAACATAATATTATTACATGTCAAAAAATACTTACAACATATCATATAAGTCACTCCACTTTAATCCGTTAGACTTGGCCTTCTTAAGTACCTCTATCTGATATTGTCTAAGTCTTCGTGATACATTGATGGTACCAACTTTCCACTAAAAAACAAAGTAAATGTTGAGATATGCAGAATAAAAGTACCAGTATCTTGATATGTACATACTTCATTTGTTGATTCTCGTAGTAACTCATTTTCAATACTTATTAAATCAAGCTTTATTTCTTCATCTTCCTCGGGCCCTAAATCAGAAGAGGGTGACTATTCAGGAGACTTTTCATCATTGTTTCTTGATTTCCGAGTACTTGTCTTTGAAATATTTCTCGTAACTTTTTTCGCCATAAGCTTTTACATTCCTATAGCTTTACCTATAACTCTTTACCTTTTTTTTGAGTTTCCAATCCGATTCCTTCTTCTTGTGAGTATAAATAACTAGTAGGCTGTCCATAAAAAAAAGTATTAGACGAGTAATACAATCTTGTATAAATCCCTGAGTTTGAAGCTATTAATGTTGATAACCAAACAATTCATTTTAATGTGAATACCATACCTCTCCTTCCTCGTTGAGAATATTCTCGTACGATTTAAACCGTTTCAAAATCGCATTGATTTGATTTTTTCAGTGGGCTTTTAAAAAAACTATCGATCTCATCCTACAAAAATGCAAAAATTTAACGCAAAAACATAAACTATTGTGAAAACACTAATAGAATACCTTTTTTGTGGGTGATGTTGATGCATCTGTATCATCCTTCTCTGTATCACTGGTAGCTTTTCTCTTGGATTTCTTCCTATCCGATAAAATACCCAATTTTATCTGGTTCAAGATAACTCGAGCCTCATTTCCGGCTAAAGATTGATCCAAACAAAATTGTATCTGCAAACAAATAGTAAGAAACAGTTAGTGTGGTATTATTCATCACGCGACACCAATCCGCAATAAAACATATAGATAAGCAGATCGGAGAAAATGCTCAAGAACAAATCTCGGACAAACGTAATTCTTTTTCTTTAGTTTTTATCATTATATTTACAAGATCGTCTTCGATTTTATCCCAGAATATTCCAACTTCTTTACTATTGCGATGATCCTTTATAAAGATAGTGGAACGAATTAGTATACCAACTTTGTTAATTTATTTTCAATCCATCTGTACAAGGCAGACCACAAGACCATATGTGTAGGTTTTACCCCTTCTCAGGACCACTGTAAATCTCCCATACTGCCTTACCAGCAGACAACAACGGACACGAAGACCATAAAGTAGGCAACGCGAAGATGCCCACCGTAGTTATGTGAGTTTTACCCCTTCTCAGGACTACAGGGAGTCTTCCACACTGCTTATCATTGCCTTACTAAGAAAAAATAAAACTTGCCTCAAGGCCCTTTTTCAGTTTCTCGACATTCCTCCTAACATCTTCCGAACAGTCACTCTCCAGTAAATAGTCAAGACTCCTCCGAAGTCTGAACGCTTCTTTTTGAAAAGAGAAAGTAAAGTCACTCTGTTTTTGACGATACTCATAAAAGTCCAAAAAAACGATATTCTTCAGGTGAAGTTTCGTTAAAATAGGAATCCAATATCACTATGCGTATGAAAAAAAATAGCTCGAAGTTGCTGTGTGGTATAAGAAAAATCAGAACACGCAATTTATTAAGTCGTGTTTTTTATATGCAAGATCCGTGAATCTAACGTCACATGAGGAATGATGCACGTGTAAAAAAAAATTACATGAATCTATGAAATCGATTTATAAATTAACTATAATCTGTAAAATATGATAATCAAATTTAAAACAATATAATAATGAAACAAAAAAGAAAATTTGATTAATAAAAGAAAATTAATTAATAACACTTTCACTAATGAATTATTCTATAGGTATTTAAAAGCTTAAGACAAAATATAAATAATTATATTATGTGATACAAAGATATATTATGGCAAGGTATTGTGAAAGACATCAAGAATAAATAATACTTTGTAATATAAGACCATAAAACATTATGCAATATATTATAAACACACAACACATTAGTACAATATTATATAGGATTGAAACAAAGATTAGGTTAATAAATATAAATATAAATTCTATGATATAAATTTGAATATTATTTTGATATAGGTTTCAAATATAAGGCTAAATATAGTATCAATATTTGAATAGATAAATATTATCTGATATTTTAATTTGTAAAATGGAACACAACTATATAATATATTATACAAGACAGATAGCATACAATTAGAAAATATAATATGAAATTCTAAATAATACAATAATATAAAATTGGTATTATGTTATCAAAATATTATTATATATTCCAAATATTACTAAAATGAGAGATTGCTATAGTATTGTTAGAGAAATAATACTAGCTTCAAATACTACTAAAACATATTAATACCAATATAACATAAAATTGCTACTGCATATTGGAATAATATTATATATATTGAATATTATAACAATATAAAATTGCTACTGTACTATTGGAATATCACAATATAACAATATATATATAATGCTATAATATAATATCACAGTATAAAATGATATTATATAAAGTTATACAATATATTGTAATAATACTATAATACAAGTTATTGCATTTATCACAATATAATTTTTTACCACAAGCTATAATATAATACCATAATTAATAATATACTATTATATATCCTTTTTATCTCAGGAGAAAAATAAAGATAAAGAACTAGTAGCAAGGAGATACTTTAGATAAATAGTACCAATATATTATACTAAAATTCCTAAAGATGTACAAATCAATACAATTCTGAGATATATAAGATCAGGCAAAAGAGATAATAGTAATTTGTTTATAAAGGTCAAGATATTTATTCAATAAAATATAAGTTCAAGCTTATCAATTCCTAGATAAAATTAAAGACTTTATATATATATTTAAATTATATTATTTTTATATATAATAATTATGAGTTATAGAAAATAATAGAAATATAAAAGAAATATTATATTTGTCAAAATAGTTATTTGTATATGTTAGTATAAAAACAAATGCTCTAGTGAAGATAAAAGAATAAAGATAAATAAATAAAATAAGAAATATTTTAGAGCAACAATAGTATGAAAATTATAGTGCTATATAATAATAAGAAAGTAATACAAGAATTATTCTAGAATGTGCAATATTTCAAGAATGAATATTAGTAAAAATCAGACAAGGAGTAATAATAATCTTGAGTAAAAATTAAGTGTAACAATATAAAATACTACTAAAATTAATATTATTATTAATTACAGTATGCCATATTATTTCTGTTATATAAAGTACTATTACAATTATTATTACAATAATTTATATAAATGGATTACAATATAGATTACTTTGAAATATTATCTTATCTTATCTTATATTAATTAAAGCTGTAAGCTAGATATGTAAATAATTTTTAAAGTCCGATGTAATATAAATTTTAAAGT